AATTAATGTTAATGATAATTTTTTCTTTTTATCATTGAATACGATGATTTTTTATTTCATCTCTCATACAATGAACTAAACAATAATAAAGTTTTGGACTAGATTTGATTTTAAAAAACTTTAAAAATTAGAGGGACATGAGTTTTATAATTTAGAAAGTATGGCGACCAAGTTGAACATTTCACAAAGAAGTTAGAAAACACCATCTATCTCCTCTGTATGTTCACTCTCGTTATTTGTCTTTTTTATCTTTCTTTAATAATTTTAGTTAAATTAGCTTTCAATTAGGTGGGTATAATTAAAAAGATTGAAAAAAAACCTCATGGACACAGTAGCGCCCATGAGTGTGCCTACAGTGCTTAGATGAAAAAATATTTATTCCATGCCTTTTTAGGAGTTCTTACAAACAAGTATTTAAGCAAACCCAAAGTTTAAAATTTTTCGTAATCATTTGAATCAACTGTGGACAAGTAATTTGCTAGGGTAATAATAAATGAATTGGTTCCTCGTTAAGTGTCTTGAATAGGAAATGATAAATTCATCACACAAATTCCTCGCACATAAATATACAAATACGTTTTGGTCTCGAAATTTTATAAAATATAAAGTTTCATTCACACATTCTCTCTCCGTATTGGTGCGGTTACAAGGATTGACGTCTAGAGTTGCTAATTGAAGAAAGTAATTAAAAGAGAACAGATCAATTCAGCCAAGGATACAAACAATATTTGGAAGAAAAGAAAAGCAAGCTTTGTAAATGTAATAACTGTTATTTAAAAAAAAAAATTATTTAAAAAATATTTAAAAAATATTTTTTATATTTTTTAAAATTTATTTTTAATATCATCATATTAAAACAATTTAAAAATACTAAAAAAATTAATTTAAAATAAAAACAAATTTAAATATTAATGAAATTCAAGTGAAACTCAGTATCAAATACCCCTAACTCAAATATCAATGCAATGTGAACTAAATTATATTACGATGTTTGAAAGTGCAGTATTAATTATGTTTTAAATTATTTTTTATTTTAAAAAATATTTTTAACAGCATCATATTAAAATAATTAAAAAAAATTAAAATTAAAAAAATACAAATTCAAACTCGTTTACATTTCCCGTGGCTTTTGGTCCGTTGCATGACGCCAATTTCATGTGGAAATCGTGGAGAAAGTGCATTATTATTAAAAGAATCATGTCTATATAGTGACCTCAAGCCCAAGAGGAGAGCAAGCATAGAATCACCATGGGCTTTGAAGATTTCCAAGTTTTGGGCTCATGAAGCCTTCCCATTTACATAGGCCACCCCATATCTTCAGCTAGCGAACCTCAAGGCGCTTTGCAAGTTTACCAGTAAGGCATCTCCATCTCTAACGAGGATGGTTGAGGCATTCTTCTCTACGACCCAAATGGACTTGGACTTTGCTCACCGCCACTCTCTGTCCCAGTCGCAGTCCCACCCATTTATGCTTCTTTCCGGGCCTCCTTCCTGGTAATCGCTTATCCTCCCCCGATTTCTTATAGTTTTCCAAGGTGTAATTATTTCAAGAGTGAATTTGCAGCGGGAAAACGTCTCTACTTTTCCAGTTCGCTTACAACGTCGCGTTAGAAGCTGAGGATGATCGCAAAGTGGTCTTCATATGCCACCGTAGCAGGATAGAAAGCGCCCCTCCTTTTCTTTCTCAGGTGAGAACTACTCTCCCTTGTAGAAAAAGAAGTATTATTGTTTCTTTGTTTCTCTGGGGTATAACCATCTTCTGATAGAGTGAATACTTCTTAAATGTTTCAGGGTATTCAACCGTCTTCTGATATCTTTAAACGCATTCAAATGAAGTAAAGAATCCACGCACTTTTAATTATCTTAAGCATAGCTTGCATTTGAGCTACAATTGTAATCATTGATCGATTCACTTTTTTGAAAGGTATGTGGAAGACGATGAAGGAATCAAGAAGTATTTTGCTGCATTCCACCTGCATGATACATTTCCTCTATCTGTGGTTGTTGATGATTTTGGAGACTTTTTCTACGAAAGGTATTCCCTTTTCTTCATTTTCCAATTCTCTCCCGGTGTGAGAGGTTATGTACTGAATTTACTATGGTTAACTTCATTTGGGTTTCTTACTTTCCGAATTTGAAGGAAATGTCAAGAGAGATATGGTAATCCTCGTGGAAGAGACTTAGCACTGGTTCGGATTTTAGCTTTGTGCCACAATGCAGTAATGTCCTCAAAGTAAGCTTTTTTAGTTACTACTGCAACTGTACTGCTTGAGTTTCATAATCTTTTATTAAAAGTTAAAAATAGAGATATCTGATTTAAGTTGTTGGAATCGCAGTGACAAAGGACACTGCAAGCTTTTGATCTCTGATACACACCATGGAGACTCCCCGAGGTTGCTCTTCCTCTATAAAAGATGGGTTCCATCCATTTTCACGATCAACGGTTTGTTCAACAAGATGATATTTATTTTGTTTTTTGCTGCCTCCGATATCATATGGGTGTGTCTCATTTCTTTGTTTGCAATATCGCTAGATTGACTGGCTGATTGTTTATAATGAAGGTGATGGCAATGGATCATTTCTCCTAAAAAATTACAGCAACGTGGGAAGTGACAACACTGAGAAAATGAAGATTGCAAAGTACACGTTAGTTTATCAGCGTCTATTGTTGGAAGGGATAATTGAGGATGAGGAGATAGACAGTCATGCTGTTGTTAGTGCTAGTGTAGAGCAATTAATCGCCGCTAAATGATGTTATATGATTCCAACAAAATCACGGGTATACTATCAACAAGCATTTCTTTTGGATAAGGTGACTTCTAGTTCCAGTTTCCAGTAAAAGATGTGCCTATATGTGTTTATCTATACCCTGGTTTTGCAAATCAAAATTTTCATTTCCAGCATTTGATAGTTCTAAACACTTGAGCAGAAGCGTGCCTTTTCTTTTGTAATTAGTCATGGTTATTCCTGCAACTAAAGTTTACAGCACTCCCATTTTGGTTATTTCTTCTTCTTGCACTGTTTTTACCCTCAGTCGCGCTTCTAGTTTCATTAAAATTGTCACCACATTTTACAAGATGAAATGTGAATTCGGTCAAATGCAAGCCACAAACTCGCACTTCTGCTGTGGCTTGGTTCGTTAGAATGCTTCGCGTAGTTTCAATATCAGATGCAACTGACATAACCTGAACTTGAAATGATCATTTTTCCTCTCTATTAACTTCATAATCATTTCCAGCCCCGCGCATCACAGTGCACAAGAATATTTGATAGTATAGAAAGCTAAATTCACAATAAGTTCACTTCCAAGAACTTTAGTATGGACGCTACCAAAAGACTCAAGATTCATATTCAGAGAGTCAAAGAAAAGGAAGTCACGAACATGGTAGGGTGACACTCGTATTTATTATTCTTGATAAGATATTACTAGTAAACTCATCCCTGATATCCAGGGTCACAGAACTCTCCTCCAAGATCATCACAAGCCTCCTCTTGGAACACCCTGTAATGAAAAAAAAAATCCTCGTTAGAATCTCAGATTTTTTGTTCAATTCTTCTAGTTGCAAATCTTTAAAACTTGTAAAATGAGAAATGGGATCCTAAGGTCTTACGTCTTGGGACAATTGTACTCTAAATATTCTTTGTCAATCTGCTGTGAAGTGCTGCGAGGAGTATTTCTAGCATCTGGTTTGAGCTTCACTTCAAGATACATGTCAACATCGCAAGCTTCCCCTCCTATTGTCTCACAAGCCTCAGCTGGGAAAACCCTGGACAAAACATGTAAAGAAAGTAAATTGTTAATCATAACTTCTAAAGTTCAAGAAAGGAAACTGAGGGTGATGGAGGACAGAACATGCGCGGAAAAGGAGCTGTAATCAACTATTGAGGTGTCGTTTGCCACTGGGGAACTTGCATTTGATCGGGGGGCATTTGGGAGTCCGTAACCTCGAGACGGCCCTCTGTGGCGAAGCCAAGCTTTTGTTAGGTGTTACAGGAGGGACAAGTGGTGGTGCCAGAAATATGGCTGCCTGCACTTTCTATGAACCGTGTGTGGAATTAGAGCTTGAAGCCACTAAGTTTGGTAATACAGACCTCATTAAAAGCATCAAAATATAAAACTTTCAACAGAGCACCGCGTTGCCAACAAGCACCTAGCCGTTGTAATTCTATCTTCCTTTTGTGTTCATGGAGAACCATTCTACCATAAATTAATTCATTTAGTTCTGGTTTGTTTGATTTGATAATTTGATTTTAAATGTAGTTCGATTTATTTGCTAGCAAATATCGAAATCCGAAAAAACAAAAAGAGAATTTGATATTTTAAGCTCGTATCTTTAACCCAAGTTTATGAAAAATCATAATGAAAAAATTAAAAATCAAATGAAATAAACCAAAACAAAACACCCTTGCTATGATAACACATAATGCTAATATTTAGCATTATAGTAGTTATTATTTTTTATTTAAAAATTAATCAAAATAATATTTTTTTATTTTATTTTTTTAAATTTATTTTTAATATTATTATATCAAAACAATATAAAAATATAAAAAATTAATTTAAAGAAAAAAAAAAACCTCGGGTACCTAATCTGTTAAAAAGAAAAGGAGAAGAAGAGCCCCGTGCCATCATTGAAACCAGACGACATGGTTTGCACTTTGCACACTGGTCGATATCACAGACGTATCATTTTAGCATCCTCCAATGCAATAATTAACTTTGGATCAATTATGTCAACGAGTCTGAAATATCCATCTAAAAAAAAAAAAATACATCACACAAACGACAAAATGGCAACAGGAAGAGTTGCTAGGAGCCGGTGACCCGGCCTTGCATGAAAATTTAGGGATTATCTGGCATGCTAATATTATTATTATTATTTAAAATATTTTTTATATAAAAATATATTAAAAGCGACATCAAAATATATATAAAAAAAAATTTAATAATTTTTTTTCTTTTTGTAAAACACCGTTTGCGCGTTTCCGAATAACGCAGCAAGTGCCCGTGTATTGACAGCTGTAAGGGCAAATTGACACTTTCTATTATTACTCAACTTAAAGCCTATCGCACCATGTTCCTGCTTTTGGTCCCGGAAGCATGACCTTTCCGATCTCTCGGTATCCCATTTCATGCTTTTTTGCAAGCTTTTCATGCTCCCAAGGCATGCCCACATCATCAGGTACATTTTACCATATACATACTCACTGCTGGGCTCATCCCATCAACATTCACTCTTCAATATAAACAGGAGAAATCCCAGAAAGACATTTACAGGAGACACAGCTGGAGTTAATGATTCCAAACCATTAAGATCAGCTAAGCTCATACTATAATATATGCTGCAGAGCTTTATTGGTGGTAGTAACATGCATGCGTGAACTGTCCACATGAAGAAGATATTCTAGCTCTTTAGTGAATTAAAAAGGCAAGGAAAAGGTGCCCTTCTTAACCCAGAAAGGAGAAACGCAAGAATAAACTGCACTGCATTCAACTTCAATGAAATGAAAAAAACAAAAAAACAGTTTCGATGGTCTTGCGATATTAAAATGGCCGTTCCAAACTCAAACAAGTTCCCACATGAAAAGGCATATTGCCAAGCATGTATTGACACGTTGCATATGCAATAAAATCTACTTCCACCCTTGTTCTATCTGATGCAGTGAAGTTTAAAGGTTTCATGAACATTGACAAGTTGCCTACACAAGCAACATTCAACAAAGATCAATCAACAATTGGATCTAATTTGATGCAATAAAGTTTAAAGGTTCCTGTTGCTTTGGAATTGACAGCACCCTTAATTGACAAAGTAGATAAACAGAGAACCGCGTGATTTTTTAAGGTAAAAGGACGTGCAATTTCAAAAAAGCTTCGTTCAAACAAAGACAGCCAACACAATCCCACCATCGTTAGAAGAGAGAACACGATAATGCAGATCGTGTCCCACTTAGTCGATTGATGATGAGTTTTTTCCTCTAAAGTAAGTAACCTCCTTGACTTACCAATCTTCAGTCACAGCACTGGTTAGGTATACAACACTGCAAACTACTGTATGATAATTAGCAGAACTTACAACTTCAAGAATTGGTGGAAACCAAAGAAAAAAAGCAACCATAGGGCTCCACGTCATGACCACTTTACCAATCTGAGAAAAGAGTTGGTCCACATGAACTGCAAACCAAGAACTCAACAAAATTCCAATTTGACCTGTGTTTTTTTGCGACTTTACTTACATTTCCTTTAAAAACTGTGCAGTTGGGATAGCATGGGGACAAGCTCGTCACTTGAAGGCCTATCTGCAGGCATTTCTGATTGACAAACAACAGCAATTCTCACTGCCATAAGCATCTCATCTTCCTCAACTTCTTCCCCAAGAAGACTCTTATCAAGCGCCTCTCGCGCCTCCCCTGCTTGTTGCAAATGTCGAAGCCAACGACCCAAACTACCCCCACTAGCTGTTTCCCCAAAGAATGGATCTGTAGGGTCTCTCCCAGTTAGCAAAACACCTAATATCATCCCAAAGCTGAAAACATCACTTTTATCCGAGTACCTATCGAAATTGGAAATATCCATTCATCTTTGTTATATAACCACATAAAGAAGTTTTAGCTTTAAAACAAAGCATGCATCAGAAATAAAAGAAAGCAATCATGCATATCGTAAAAAAAATAAAGGCTAGAGATCATGGCTGAACACATTCTAAACCCCAGCAAATTAGCATCAAGAAATGCCAATAAAAGCATACCAGGTGGAGACCTCTCAAAGGCACTTTAGCTAAGAGAGATTGATTTTGTTTATAAAGGTGCTTAGCGAATTCCATTTGCTTCCCATTCGTTTATTAGCGAGATTAGCTTTCACTTTAGTCAGATGATTCATCTTGATTACAGTCTAATAAAACAGTTGAATCTTCAAAGACACCAAAGAGAACCATGAAGCAAGTTAAACATTAACGTTAATATAATTAACTATCAGATTATTAAGCTGCCAAAAGAAACGCAATAATTAGAAACCATTCTGATGCAGAGACCATGCATAGTGATGAAGATGAAGCTCCCACATGTTTGAACTTTTAAGTACTACAATTACAAGTCATCGAGTCATATCATAATTACAGCTGAATAGAAGTGCAGAAAATTAATTTCATGTACCTGCAATCTTGGAAACACTCAGGAGCACTATATCCAGACGTAGCTCTATCCAAATTAGGCGTAAGCTTAGCCAGTCCAAAATCAGCCAACCTTGGTTCAAACTCAGCATCCAAAATCACATTCCTGGGCTTCAAATTATAATGCAAAATCTGAGGGGCGCATTCAAAATGAAGATACCTGAGCCCTTTAATAACCCCAACGGCTATCCGAAGCCGAACTTCCCATCCAAGTTGCAACTCATTCTCTCTCACTCTATTCATTGCATCTTCAAGACTCCCGGTTGGCACATAATCATAAACCAAAGAGAACCTATCTGGCTCGCGAACATAAGCCCTTAAACTCATCAGATTCCGATGTCTCAAACTAGCTAGCATTTCCAGCTCCTGCTGTATCCTTCTCTTTATTGATTTGCTCTGCCTCTCAGGGGAGCCAATCTCAAATGGCTCGAACCTCTTGACAGCAATGGTTAGCCCATTGTCCAGTGCAGTCCTGTAATACTTTCCATTGGAGCTTGAACCTAGCAATTGATTCTCATTTTCAAGAGCTGATTGAAGACTTTTAGGAGTGATTTTTGGAGAAAATATAACTGGGCCTTTGAGAATCGGAGTTCTCTTCATGTACCGGACCAAGAAACGGACTACAAAAGCAAAAACAACGGCTCCTATTAATCCAGTCAAGACTCCTAAGAAGATGCTTACAAGTATTCTCTTGAGTCCATTCTTGGATTGGGTTGGAGTAGAAGGAGATGGAGGTGTGACTTTACTACTTTCTTGACATTGTACACTTGCGCAGTACAAGCAAAGAACGAACAGAAAAGGCAGTGAAGCTGTGACTGTGCTATTGCTAACTCCAAGACTATATCTTCTTTTCTCCATTAGGACCTAAAAGGCCTCAAGACCTCCCACAGGACCCTATAAATGATACCACAAGCTCAACAAAATCTCCATAACCCACATCTTCAATACTCCTTATAACTCAAGATTCTCGCTTAAACCCAAGACCATTAATCATAAGCTTCAATCTTTGGCATTCTCAAGGACACCAACTCCAAGGAGCTTGAAAACGAGAAACCCAGCGAGTTTCAAGAGGACCAGTTTCTTAAAGAAACCCCATCATATATATGAAGCCATATTTGTTAAGAGAACTTTTTTTCCAAGTGTTGGAAACTAAGGGATAATATGAGATAAAAATCGAATCCCAACTCAAAATCTTCACCAGAAAGAAACCAAGAATCTTAACGTCACTGATTCCCACTTCTTCGGTGAATTTCACACTAAGAGAGCTGCACTCACACTGCACGCATTGGTTACTGCCCCCAAAATACACCACATTTCACAAAGGAAAAGGTCTTCAACAAACCCAGAAACACAAAAACTTCAGAAATGATACAATCTTCTTTTATTCTAATAGTAAGTCAGAGTAGTGACTATTCGTTTTCTTTGACCACCTCAAGAACAAAATCAAAAGGCCCTCAACTACTTGCTATTATAAAGAAGAAAACAGTTAATATAATACTAAAAGTAGCAGGTAGAGAAACAAAAAAGAACTACAGCAGCTACTTACTAGCTAAAGCCTCCTCCTATGGGAGTCTCTTTCTTTTTTCAGTTTCTCTCTCTAGAAAATAAACAACACATTCAGTGTGCGATACTCTCTCTCTCTCTCTCTCTCTCTCTCTCTCTCTCTCTAGAGGGAAGGGGACTCTCAATCTTCCTTTTCTTTCTCTTTCTCATGAGGACAAAACTTGGTTGGGGTGTAAGAAAAAAAGAACAAGATTTCGTTTATAATATTTGTATTATTTGATGATTCATCAAACTCGGAAAATATAAATAGTATTAATAATAATAAATTAAAAAATTTTAAAACAAATATTGCGGATTAAATAATAAATTATATATTTTTAAATCTAATTAACTCGATTTAACTTATATATTATTTTATTTTTTTGCTTGTACATTTAATAAGATACAGAATTAAAATTTACTTTTATTTTATTTAAAAATATTTTTTCTTTAAATTCCTTGTTATTGGGTTTTCTAGTAATTTTTTTAAGATAATTAAAGGTAGTTTATCTTTTTACCCGAGTAAAAAGATGTAATAATTTAAGGCATGAAAATTATAATTAAGGTATCATGATAATTATAATTAACAAGTTTGTCTAATATTATATTCAAGCAGCCCAAATTAAAAAAAAATTGAATAGATCATATTTTTTAATTTATAAAATATCCAAAAATAAATTGAATACAATTTTAAATCCATCCTCAACAATCCTAAAACTTGGGGTTCCCTTCCCTTCCCGCCTTTCAGAAGACCAGAGCAGAGCTGGGTCCATAGCCATGTAAGGACAGGCATCCCTCTTGTCAGGCCGAAAGCGAAACATCGAACTGTTTGGGTGCGAGCGAGCGAGGGACAGCGTAAAGGAGGAGTTCATTTGTTGATGTCTTGATGAGATCTTGACCGTTGATATGGAAAGGAAGGAACATCGCGGGAATCTGTGCTGGAATGAGGTTTTTACTTTTTATGATTATTAAACAAATGCCACTGTCTTATCGTAGGATTTGTAATTGTATACTTCTTTTCTTCACCCGATAAGAAGTGCATTTCCCTGTCGTTCTTTCCTTCTTTATATATATATATATCGAAAAATTCATTTCGTCAAGAATCAATTTTGAATTCTGAAAATTGTTCGGACAATTCTTCTAATTCTTTCCAAGTGGCATCCTCTTCAAATAATTTTGTTTGTTGGATAAGCCTCTTCACAAGTGCACGGTTGCTTTTCTTCATCATCTTTCTATCCAAGACAACGACATGTTTAACCTTAATACTGTCACCCTCATCTGTCATTGGTAGTACTCAAGTAATAATTATAGCATTGCCCACTAATTAACAAGGTGAGTTAAGTGTTAATTATTAACGTTAGAGTTAGTTATTAATTGTTAACGTTAACCAGTCCCCTTTGGTGCTTAACTCATTACAGTGTCGTATTGCAGAGAACACCTCCCTTGAACGGTTGGGAACACGGACCTGGGCAGAGCAATTTCAGGGAGGACCAGTTCCTTTCACCCCCTTTTCTTTTATCATCAGGTGGAACGTTTCCCTCAATTGACTCCCTCAATCCTAACTACTCTTTCCTCAATCAATCACGAACCGGCTCCCTTTCTCAAGTCTGACAGCACTGCCGCGTATCAGGTCATCAGAGATATGGCTGGTCATCATACCAGGGCTTTTCTTTAACCTGCTCATGCCTGTCAGGTACGTTCAAGTGTTTAGTCAATCAGAGACTGCTGGGGACTGTTCCAAATTTCTCAGTTCAATTCTCTCAAGTTACTATAAAAGTTGGCTTTCAGTTCAATTCCACGGCATTTATCTAGCACTTGATTCTAATTAAAAAATTTGAGGGTTTTTTTTTTTTTTTCCTGGGTGGTGCAAACTTCCATTCACAAGAAAGCCTCACTAGAATAAATCAAATGTACAAATACACAATGCCCTAAACCTAAATCCTCTCAGCTACACCACAAAAAGTAACAAAACAAGTTGATTAAACAAAACCATTTCACATAGCAGACCCTTTCGTTCTCACCAGGGGGAGATTATCAATACAATCTTCACCGACTAATTTTGCAGAGATGCCCCTGGGGCAGGCAGGCCAACCTACCACTCTCCTCTATTTCAAACCCTGCTTTCATCTTCAATGGAGATTAAACTTAAAAATATACTTACAAAAAAAAAAAAAAGCATAATACCACAGCCAATTTATGTTTCAACTCTCCAGCCTCATTGTAGTCACCAATCAAATATATTCCTCTCTTGAGCATGTCAACCATTTGAGTCTGATAATAATGCAAGGACCTCACTCTCATCAAAGCCGGACTCTATGGCAAGCTCGAGCGGGGTCTTACCTTCACCATTAACAGCTCGTGGATCCGCTCCCCTGCAAATGCATTAGGACAATTTAGTAAAGCATTTCACAGATCTTAATAATGCTTTTTTTTTCCCTTGTAGGAAGCATGCTGGACAGAGTGATGCGCTTATCAAAGATGGTAAGTGATAAACTGTACGGCACATGCGTGATGTAATCATGACAAGACATAGATTAGTAAAATTCACCTTGAGAGGAGCAATTTTGCAAGGAAAGGTCTGCCTCTGAGAATACAACGGTGGAGCGGTGTCTGACCTCTAGAATCGGTTGAATTTATATTCGCACCATACTGTAAGAGGAGTTCTAGCATGCCAATATCGGCTGTTTCACAAGCAAGGTGAAGCAAGGTACAACCATCTAGATCCTCCAAGGTCAGGCCTTCACTTGACCCTGCAAAGTTTAAAGAGCTAGTGGAAGACCTATCCAATGAATTCCCCGCTGAGTAGCTGGAGAGTTGTTCAGGGTTTGTCTGCTCTTGCAATAGCATCGCTTTGGCAAGTGTTAGGGAAGAGCTACAAGATGCTTGCTCATACACAGCACTGACATCTGCTTCATGATGAACAATAAGACGGTATACAGCCTTCTTGTCATTGGCACGAACAGCTTCCCAGATCTGTTGGGCCACTGATTGACTATTTTGGTTGTCTCTAGGCTTGCGAACAAATACCTTTTCTGCATACTGTCATCCAAAGGAAACAAAGATTTCACTTCCAAGTTCTAACATGTCCACAATAGCTTATCCCAATCATAAAAAAGAAAAAAACCATGAACAATTATCCGCAACTAAAAGAACAGATTCTAGAAGTAGGGACAAAGTTATTAGTTAAACCTTTGCATGGATAAACTTCTCCTTTACAGATATAGAATCGGCAGGATTGGGTTTGCCGATAAAGAGCAGCTGTGGTTTATCAGACTTGAACAAGCTTCACCCACAGAACATTCATGAATATTAGCAACGAGTAATAGAAGTAATTATATACAGCTTGAGATAAATGGGAATGTTAATTTCAATCATGGTTCTTTACCCTGTGGGGATGAGTTCAACCTGCACGGCACTTCTTGATTGCAATAATTCCTCCCAGACTGAGTTAGCGAAGGCATTTCCCAGAGACTGGAACAAACTTATGACTGATGGCTCCCACACCTTGACATCGAGTGTAAGAGACCTTACCTGCAATTAAATTCAACAGATTAAGAGCTGGACCGATGAACAGACAATATTAATATCACCATTAGGAATTAACAATGGACATAACCAGAGCACCTTCAAGAATAGTGCTGTCCATAACAATCAGCATATGCTGAAACCCTGTCTAATCTGCTAAGATAATTATCCAATTATACAGCAACTTTGCCAATTTATTTTAAGATGAAAGAGATAGACGCTCAGGACCAGCATACAATCTTCTGGTTGTTGATAAAGTGAAAAGTGAAAAACAGTAGTAATTGACAAGTCAATCAAGTCATCCCAAAGTCTGTCCACCTAGCTAATATTCTTCAGGCTACTGAATCTGGTGTGAATGAAGGAAAATGATAGTTAACTGCTTTATTTAATGATTATTCTAACTGCTCGAAGCAGCTTTCACAGATACTGGTCTATATTGCTGTCCAACAAGCGTTTGATACCACCCACTTTCTTCCAACATTAATGGCATAATGTTTATTAAGAAATAAGCATGGCTCACAAAGCAATACTGCCAAAAATCAAATCTTCCAAACTTGAAAAGAAGTTTACCTTTGATATATGTACACCAAGATTACGGTGAACACCAGAACATTCAATGCAAATAAGAACTCCAAGATTTAGAGATGCCCAATCTGGCTCAGGGGCACCGCAATCAGCACATTTATCATTTCCACAAACTCGCTGCAACACATCAATTGGCTTCTCTGCACTGGTTCGTTGCTGTTGCGAACTTCTCAATGCTCGTTCATGATGTAAGGCGGCATGGCTCCTCTCAGATGCATATTCATCAACAGAAGGATCAAAATCAGTACTTTCAAATGAACTACTCTCACTGGCAGAACGATGATGACCACTTCCCAGGGGACTAGCCGAGAGACACTGAAATTTAACAAAACTACACTCATAAAAAAGTCTTGAGAATTAAAATGCCAACAATGCTCCGAATAGTTACCCTCTCAGGAGCTTGTGAGCTTAGTAGTGAAGCAATAACCCCTGTTATCTTTTCAATCCAATCCATTTGATCCAGTGCACTCTCTGCCTGCACTGACATGCATAAATAGGCATTGTTAAGGATCTATTGCAGACAACATCCTTAATTACACATCTTATCCGTCCCTGCCAGAAATCAACAACGGTGATTATATTTAAAATGCAAGGCAGCTTTTACTCACAAGCCACATATACAAGATACATCCCACATCATACCTGCAATGTGTAGTTCTTCGTTGGTGAGATGATCCTGAAGCAAAATCGCAGATCTGACTGGTCAGCATCAACTTTGATTGTTGATGTAAGAAGGTTCACGGTGTGATGAGCAACAGACTTTTCATCATGCACTCCACCATGATAGTGAGAAGAAAGCCATCGACTTAACAATCCAGATCCAAGCTCAGAGCTGTTCCTTTGACCAGAAAGTTGACCGCCAGAACCCTATAAAACATATCAAGCATGATGAAAAAATCAAGTAGGCATCAAGAACAGAATAGACTTCAAGCACTCTATAAATAAACTTATTTTTCACATAATTACTCACTGAAGGTTTGCTGCTCTGTTTACGATAGTAATAAAGCATTCCTCGGCTATCAAGAACAAAAAATCTTCTTTTCCAGTCACCTCTCAAGCTAGAGGATCGTTTTGACAGATAACCTTGTCTGATAGTTTGAACCTGAAAGTTTGCTTCTTGTTTTAGAAGTAAAATTCAATTGGAAAAGAATTGGATCTGTAAAAGTTCCCTCGTAGGTGTAAAAGTTCTACACACCTTCCCCTTTGCAGCGGATTGCATAACAGCCTCTATCATTTTGTGTGAACTTCTACCGATGGCCTGTATACCGTCTCCATTTGGAGATCCATTAGAACCATTGGAAGACCATCTACTCTCGCGATCAATTTGTCTCTTGTACTCCTGCATCCTTTCATTGAGAGATGCCTGCTCATAGTTAGATCTTTCCCTTGATTGTTGAGCATAAGTCAAAACCTGCAAAAACAACAAGAGACGTCTTGTTTCCATGAGTCAACTAAGAAAAGACTTGATGCCATTTTTTTTCTTTTTTTTCTTTACCATTGTGCTTGCCCTGTGCCATGTTCACCCAAGACTTTACAGTTCAACATACAAAATTAATGACATGTAGGAAGTCCAGAAAAGTTAAAAACTAACCAAAATCAATTCCCATCAAACAAATTTAGGCACACAAATGCAAGTTGAATACTTAGATATTAGCTAGTCATTGAGACAACCAACCCTGCCAAAGTCTCGCCTCTGTACACATCCTCATACTTGCCAATCCACAAATATTTACTTGTATAAAATAGAGCCTCTTCAAAATAGTAGGGTCCACCACACCAACCTTCCTCACCATTCAAACATCCCAAAAGCTAAGATTTATATTGGAGCACAAGATTGTGAAGCTTCTAAGATGGCAAGAGCTCACATATTATTGTTGGTTGATTCTCTCCTTTAACCATGCTCCCTTGTCAGCCCTCACTTAAATGGCAAAGTTGTTTGATGACTAAAATCCAATGGAGCTTCTGAATGGCATAATCATTCTTTTATTCTTCTTCTCTTTCCTTCTTATTCTTTCTTTCTCTTTTTTTTTTTTTTTGGCAGGAAGTATGAACAAAACATATTCTTCCTAAAAACAATAATCAGATTTCACGTATTTTGAATATAATGACATGACTATTGGAAGAGTTGACTGTGATCTACAGAAATACTTAGTAATAATAAACCTGATGAATGTATGGCTCCATTTGATGCAAAAGCTCATAGCCCTACAAGCAACAAAGGTTTTACATGAGCACATGCATGATAAAGTTTAAAGTAAGTCCATAAAGTACAGAAGTACCACCATGTGTCCTACCTGTTTGAAGTAACGAAGATGTGCATCCATTGTCCCACTGACTGCTTCCAAAAATTCAAACCTCTTCTTTGCTTCGACATTAGAAATAGCAGTTACCTGGATGCAGAGTGAGCAGATTATAAAATCCAAGTTCTTGAAACATCAGAATAATTGTTAATATTAACTATATTAAGTTTTTTACAAAAAAAAAAGGAGTGGTGGATGAAGTAGCTAGTTTGGGTTTTACTTACTAGATTAAAGCGAGCTTGCTCAAACACAGCCCTTGCATTATGAAGCTCCTGGTATATATCAAAACTCAATTAGAAATATAAAATGGAGGACATTCAAGATCACAGCCAAAGATAAGAACCGCAGCAAAATCATAATACCTCCTCTAAAAGAATAGCCACATCAGACCTCGTGCCTTTCCTCAGTGACAGAAACTTCTCACGAGCCTGTCGCATATGTGAACATTAATTACAAACAAAAGACTATTTTGCATAGATTCAAGTATGGAACTTCATGGCTCAAGTTGCATTTTGTATATCCCCCTTATTAGCAATGGCCATGTGTAAACAACTCGAACACCCCCAAAATCTAGTTAACAGTGCATGAGCAAGTCATCAACATGATGCAACATCCATGCTACTGTGGATACTGCACATCTCGAGTTCCTATTCCACAGCTCATGGTGAAATATGTGTAACATACCAGACCAAACAGAGCTTTGGTAGCACAAAGTCAATTATCCTTCGAAAACTAAAACCTTACCTCCCAAAGCAACATAAAGATACATGTGTGTGTGTGTGTGTGTCTTTTCTTTTATGTGTGATGCAGCAGATTTCAGCTCAATTCCAGTTAGTGTATTAAATTTGTCGGCCTAAAAGTAGTGCAAATCAATTGCATGCTGTGTTTGACTTCACTTACCATTGCAGGTTGCAGAGATAGCTTGGGATGATAATAAACTTAACTGTAGCATTATTGCAATACATAGATTTCCTTAGACTGAACAAAGACCATTAGAGGTTCATCCCAACATTTCTGACTAGCAGTCAACTTCATAGTTAATGGTACTAAAAGTCTAGAATTATTCTGAAAAAATGTTAAATTACCATGATAAGTTCTTTCAATCAAATGGCATCTAAAAAGATGGCAGCATATTAAAATCTTATAAAGAGGGAAATACCTGGTCGTAAAGTAGGCTAGCCTTGTCAAAACGCTTCCTTGCTTCCTGCATTAAGAGAAGATTTTTTAAAGTAGCAATTAAACGCAATATCCAGGAACTAGGGAGCATTAAAGTGTACAGACACATCAAATGAAGCCATGAAAACAAATTTGCAATTTCACAACAGGGAAACCATAAAACTCCTTAGAGATCTCACAATAATCAAGAGTTGAACTAACAATTTGGAGAATGTGAATCTGATGTGAGAGAGCAGCACAGAAAGTTGGATGGCTATCAATAAATCAATCCTAAATGGTACTATATTTAAGTTACAATATAAGGAAAAGTCACATCACAGCCTTGCAAAATTTATATTTTGCATGAACTTGGTTGCTTGGCCTTCCCCCCAGATTTGCATGACATTCATTGACCATCATAAGGAGACAATGATGGGCATTTGACAATATTAAGTACCTTCACCTCAAGCAAATCAATGTTGACAAAGTGTAATAATCTGTCATTCAGCATATGTTCAACCTGAAAAGCAAAAGGAAAGGAGCTCAGGTCACACCAGAGAACAAAACATCTTTTTTCTTAAGAAAGAGCAAGAACTGGATCGTTTTCTCCAGATAAGCTCAATAAATGCCCGCTATTGTACCTAAAATTCTGTGTTCTATGTAGCATGGGTTCAAATACTCTATTTGAGCTCAGGATTACTAGATGCCTATGCTTTCTCCAGCTGATTATCAAGTAGATGTGAAGTTTATTACAAGTTTTTATGATCAAAAAGTTCTTGTATGAATGATCTTATTTTATTGCTCTATTTGAAACGTTATCTAGAAAGATCCCGTTTATCAGGTGCCCAAATGGGTTGTAAAGGAAAAGAAGTTGGACATGTATGCAATAGTCTTGCCCTTTGACAACAAACTTCAGCATACAAACTAAGTACAGGAATTGTAACAGAAGTGACACATTTTTTTAAGTTCAATTAACTAAGCTTAAGCTATAACAATAAGAACAGAATCACTTCTAGAAGAAGAGATGTTATTGTGTCAATCATTCAGTGCAATAAATTACAAAATGTCACCTGGGATCGGAGAACTTCTTTGTATGTCCCAATTTCTCTCAAGGCTATGGTGAATTTGGTCATAACAGGGCCTACATTAGCACAAGATGTTCAATCAATAATCTCAATAAACACAATTAAAATTTCAACACTACCAAGATTAACCAGGGCGAACTAAGACATCCTACAAACTGAAATGAGTACGGCACTTGATTGGCAACAACTAATCAAGCAACAGAGAAGAAAAAGTCTTGGTGCTTGCAACTCTCCAATGACACAACAGAAAAATGTCCATCATCTAGGCCACAACAAATAAATAGAATTTCAAGTAAAAATACCTCCAAAAGCCAAACTAATAGGATCGTTATGCCCTCCACCAAATGTTTCTAAAGCACTAGCAAAACCAACGTCCCCATCATATGCCTCCCCCAGCCCTTCACTGCAAGTAAGGAAAAAAAAGAGCACAAAGGTAAATTCTTCACAAACCCATTGCTTGTAACATAGATAAGTGAGAGAAAGAAAGAAAACGCAACTGCATATAATGCCAAACAGATTCACATCCTTGAGTAACTTGGAATATTTGAACAAACTTGACCAACTTAAAAAAACATAAATTAATATAAAAACTGTTTTATCTTTAAGCAGGGACTCTTAGTGATGAATTTCAGTACTCGGGGTGCTATGAAGAATAAGAAAAGGGGCGCGGTTTCAGGTTTCAGCTATGAATTTGCTTTCTTAATTTTGGGAATCATATCCTGCACTCCTGTCTATATCTAAATAACTGGGTTCTGAAGCAAGAAAATCAAATCCAGGAATCCTGAGCCCTGTAATGCATAGGTCCTTCAATTCAGGTCCACATGCAACTTGCAACTAGAAGTCTAAAAGAGTGGTGGGTAGTTTACAAATACTTGAGTGACAGGCAAAAGCTGCTAGCTTTTATTATAGTGTCAACTGATCTAAAAAAATAAGAATATAAAACATTGCAAGGAAATTCCAACATCGTTTAATTAGCTAAATACTATGAATAGAGGCTTTTCTTTTTATAATGCCAATCAAAGCAAAAACCAAAACGTAGAGAACATACGTGTATTTTCTACATCCTTTGTAGAACTTTAAACTTCTCTCCCTCAATGATTCAGCATCTTCTTCCAGTGATTGTATCTGCTCCACCAAATAAATTATCAAGAGCCCGCTATACTACGGGACAAGCAATTTATTGCAAAATAAATTTGGAAAAATATATTTTAGAGGGGAAAAAATATAAATGGAAAGTATCAACAGGAGACATATTGGAGTAGCAATTGTAAAGCCGAATTATTAACGCGGATCTATTTTCTCCTAAATATCAGACAAATTACTAAAACATTTGTCTGATATTCATTCCACAAATAAAATTTCCTTTAATAAAATAACAACAACAGCAATTGATATTTTATTTCTCTTTCCTTGAATAGATGCCCTGTATTTAACAAAACACAATCAATTAAACGTTCTAATTCATTTTCCCTTAAATAAAATATTAAAACAACTGGATAAATCGAAGGGGAAAAAATGTACACCACTGCTACAAGTAGCTGGCAATCATCGAGGTTACTTTAACAAAGCTTCAATTCCTTACAAGAGAAGCACACGGAAAGAGAGAGAAGGCAAGAGCACAAACCTGCTTTCGAAACATAGGAGAGTCATCGAGCTTTGTGAAATGCATTTTTGATACCTCGATTCTTCACTACTAACTCTAATTAACATTCCAACAAATGCTCGATCGAACCTAGTATCATCACAATTGACTTGAGATCTTGCCCTCTTTCACTCCGATCCCAATCGCCACTTCATAAAAATATACTAATCAAAAACTTAAGAGAGCTCTTATTTTTACACATTTGTTTATCTTCTAGCTTTTTTTGCTTGTTTGTTTATTCTGGTTTTTAAAAACCCTAGGAGAGTGAACAAAAGAAGAAGAAAGAAACCCTAGGCGAGGAAAGAAAACACGAGATTTGTGTGTGTTTAAGGAAGTCTTGGAAATTGAGTGGATCTATCAAGCCACTTCATTCATTAAAACCTGGAATTGTCGAACGGACAGACACTCACACAACAGCACAAAAGCATAGATAAAAGCACTAAACACACCGAGAGAGAGAGAGGGTCTCTGTTTTTTTTTTAGGATTCTTTTTATTTTTCTTTTGGCCAAATTGGGACTACTTTTCAGTTTTGCGAGCCAAATTTAGTGGAGAGATGGCGATTTTAACAGAGTTCGAGGATTAAGATTACCACTAAACAACGTCGTTTCAATCTTCAAATCCAACGGTGCCGTTTAGCAGCGACCATTCGAGTAGCTTGCGAACGGTCTGAGAGCTACTGACAGTGGTTACCTTTACACGGTAAGAAAGAAGCATGGAAGACCAGTTTCACCAACGCCCTTACAATCGCGTGTATTTTTCAACCAGTCAATACCAAAGTACCTAAGCAACGGAGCCAGTAAATGATAAGAAGGTGAGTTTGAGTGGAGGCTTTGGGCGTGGGGTAGAGGAGCATCGAATCTGAAAGATGCTGCTGTCGAGCACACTCAGCATGGGAAGTAGAGGGCCCCAGACAAAATTTCTCTCTTCTCTGCTTACCATTCTCGAGTGGAGACACGAAGAAAATGATAGCACCACCAGTAAGTACTACCCCTGAAAAGGAAAAAAGAAACCAAGAAAATGGAATCAAAATATTTATTACAACTTAAATAAACTTGTGACAGCGATACCTCTTCCTCCTTCCGTATCTTAAAAACGGAGAAGCATCCTTCCTTCCTTCGAGCTGCTGGGACCCGTATACGACGACTACTCGGTAATCACGCGCACCGTTGAGGCACCATGCGTGTTTTCCAAGTGCTCTTGACAATACCCAGAAAATTACAGGAACCTGCTGTTTATTTTTAAGAAAAAGTTTTTTTATCATTTAAATGAAACCTCGGGATAATTATATTTTATACTCAGCATTTATGTTGGCATGGATTGTAAGCTACGTGAAAATAAAAGTTTCTTAACTAATAACGCAATAGTTGTTGGAGAGTGGTAATTGCATGCATTAAAATAAATGAAAGAGAGTCCCAGTAATTGCATGCATCAACGCGTCAGTCTTGTAAGTTAAGATGTGTCATGCATCTTTGACATTGTAGATAATAATATCAAGATGTATTCAAGCAAGCATATACAGAAGGTGGCATGGAAAGTACGAGAAAAAAAAAAAAAAAGGGTGATTATTCTCCCACAAAGCAGATCAAAGGGAATCAATGGTGTCAATCAATCATCTCTTTTCTCTCTTCGTTACTTGATGTTGCTGCACGAGCGTGGCAGGAGGCCTGTCCAAACGGAATATATATGTATATTTATTTATTAATTGAAAGTAAGTACTGTGGTGGGGTAAGCAACCCAAAAAAAAAGTTTATGTTATTTTAGAAAATCATTTTTTTATAATTGTCCATGTACCTCGATCATATGAAATTTGGTTAGTCAATTGATCTAAAATCACTTCACCTGCCTCGTGTGATGCTGGCCTTTTTATTGACTGTTCAGAGCATCAAATTTTAGATGGAAGTAGTTGCTTGCCCTGCTTCATTGCGGTAACGGGTTCGAGAAGTTATTAATGTTTTTGCAAGTTTTTTGTAGTGAACATTAGTCGCAATCTGGGACAAGTAAAAACAAATAAACTGTTGATAGATAAAACTTTTTAGACCTCGGGCTAATTTTTTTTAAAAAATGAAATAAATGTAGAGTATATTATAAACGAGTTTAAATGAATATCTAAAAATTCATAAAATAAATTAATAAGATAAAACAAAATAAAAAGCATTAGTAATGCACCTTTAGCGTCGAGAATAAAAATAAGTAAGTACAAATTTTCAATTATAATGGAGCTCTCATGTGGAAAAATAATAATAAAATAATCAATAATGTAAATTTAGGATGAGATAATTCGTGAAGGTTTGTGGAGAAATATAAATAAATTTATTTCAAGTTAGTATAAGATAATTCCTAGAGGTTAGTTAAGAAATACAAAGTTCCAAGTCAGTATAAAATTTTATAGAAAACACAAAGAATTACCTAGAATTGATTAAAGAGTCGATGGCAAAAATATAATTTTGAGAAAAATTCCAGCCCTCCTCCTTTATATTCACCCCGCTAGCCATTGATGAAAGAATGAGAGCTTCTTCTTCTTTTCTCCATTGTTTTTCTCCAAACCTCTTGTGTACAGACCAAGTTTAGATTGTCGTGTATAGATTACTACAATTAAACTCGGGAACACAAGATTAGAGAGTGTTTTAAGTAAAAGGAAGTGAGGGTTAATGAGAGAAAACAAGAAAATTGAAAGAGAGAAGAGGAGAAACTTGTACAGGAGAAGGTAAATTGGGTTCAAACTTACTTGGTAGAGTATCTCGTACCCTTTAATCCATGTTATTTAATTTATTTTTTTATTTTTTTTGGCCGGGGGGGGGGGTGCATCTATGGTTTTTTCACCTAATATTTGTGAGGAAAATCTAGGAAAACTGTAAAGTTTCTTGTAAAAGAGGTAATGAAAATGGAACAATTAAGAACAGAGTAAATTAGTGATGGTAATTGAAAATAAATCCAAGGGTAATACAGTACTTGAGGGAATAGGAGGGAGAAGGAATTGAGTAAATTTTTTGAAATTTCATGTTATTTTGATGACATGTGTGCGAATTACAAGTGAAGCAGTGAAATTGATTTAAAAGGTAAATGAATTATAGGATTTTATTTTAAGCGCATGGGTTATATTATAGAAATTTGGAAAAAATATACACCTTGATGTCAAATACTCAAGTTTATATCAACTAACATATAAATAAGTAAAAGAAATAAAAATAACTACAAGAAAGACTATGGAGATTCAAAATAATAGAGTCGATCATGAAGACATGTTGACAAGAGAAAAAAGTTAAATGAAATTATGAAATAAATGATTAGCTGACTTGATTTGTGGGTGAAACGATGTTATCAGAAAAAATAACTAATTATGTAGATCAACAAGTATTATAAATTTCTGTTAAAAAATAATAGTTTTTAATTTATTTATTATTGCTGTGTCTTTCATCTCAAACAACAAAAATGATAAATATAGAAAGAATTTTAAAAAAAATTGATAAGCCGGTCACGTTTCATTATGAGAAAATTTATAAACTGATCATATAAATAAGGGAACTGATCATATAAGTGAGGGCCGTTAATTGAAAATCAATAAACCAATTATGTGAATGGGGTTGTTATAAGAAAATTGATAAGCTGACCACGCGAGTTAGCCCACCAATTAAAAATCGATGAGTTGACCATGCAAGAGGGAGTATTATAAAAAAATTGATAAGTCAATCACATAAATAAAGATTACTAATCAGGAAATGATCAACCTACGATATGAGTGGGCTTATCACAAGAGAATTGATAAACAGACTATATAAATATAGATCATTATTGATAATTGATAAATTGACCATGTAAATAGAATTGTTATAAAAAAAATTAAAAAGTTAGCCTAGCAGATATAAGTTATAATTATAAATAGACATTTGAATATTAATCTGTAAAGTTGATATTCACAAAACAAATTTAAAACATGGCTCGAGTTAATGTTACCATACAAGATAGGCCACACTATCAATAAAACACCCGTGTCTCACAATACAAGGTTATCAATGAGAGGTAATAATAAGTGTGATAAAAAAAGTAAATTACTGGAATAAGATTAAAAGTGAAGAGTTAGAAAGTAATTAACATGGTTAAGGATTGATCAGGATAGAATACAAAGGAATTGTGTTGTCGATGATGATGAGGTGGAATTTATTGCAGTGATTTATATAAGTTGGAAATTATTGTATATTTTTAAACTATCTGTGTAATTTTTGTAATTATAGCTTTTATATACACATACACGTATAGATTGAGTGTACAAAGCAGCGAATTTTAGATGGACCAGGTGATGAATGGCTAGCGGTAAAGTCACGTACCCTACCATGCTCACCAGCTACAGTTAACAAAGTTTATACATTTATCATTCTTTTTTGATCGACATACTCACCGTTTCATACCCATTCTCTTCAAAAATTGATTCTCCATGGATGTGTTACACGGTACATGCGTTCCTATCCTAAGCTCCTTGACGAATCAATAATTTATATCAATAAAATTGTGCGAAAATTTAAAGTTACAATGGCTCGTGATTAGACAGACATATATAACTAGGTTCCGCATGTTCTTTAAATTCAATCTTCAAATTTAAATTATCGTTCATCGTGGTTCCTTTTCTGATAAAAGATATTCTCAAGCTAATTTATATTTTTTTTTAATGATAAAAATACGCCCAAAGCTAATTTTGATAAGCTAAAATTCAAATAAAAGCTCTCCACTTCCTGAAAAAACCGAATGGGAGTAGAGAGGAACTCTGTGACGACAACTATGGCCCATGTTGTCTTCTTTTTGACCACTTGTCTTTCTTTTCTTCTCTTTTTATATGTTCACTCAGTCAAATTTGTCAGGTCAATCCTTAACTTTTTGAAGAAAATATGGTTGGCTCTGGATGCTATCTGCATCTCGTGTCACCGTATTTGTCATTTTCGGACGATGGACAAAGCTTTGCAACAGTTTATAGCCCGCGTCTTGATGTGGTCGGAGAGGGAGGGAAAAAAACCAACTATCCTTTTGAATCGAATCATTAAAGTATTCAATGTCAAGCAATATTACCACTCTGTGTAAGATCGGTATCCGGACCCGGACGGAAGCTATCAAACGCACTCGAATAAATGTTGTTTTATCACCAAGAATGAAAGTTAAAAATCTAAAACGTCCTTCTTCATTTTTTATGTAAGAATTAATCACAGAATTTTAAATTTGATTCTATGCCCATAATCAGATGGACTACAGCAGATATTTTAAAACAATAAATTTATAATTAAATTTTGTTTCAAAAAATAACAGATTTCAGATCTCTTGAATTTTTTGGCTACAGAAACCATTCCTTTCAGGTGGTTTTGACGTTTTCCATGGAGAGCGAGCAACTATTTCTCATGGAGGCGTAACATTGCTTAGCTCGGGATACTTGTATATCTAATTAGGATATTGTTTTCTTTGGATACTCAATTAAAAGATGACCCACAACTGGGGGGTCAAATTTGTTGCGTGCCCGGTCATATATTGCAGCAGCTGGCGAAACGCTCAGGCAATT